GAGAAGATCCTGCTGATGAAAGTCAATTTCCAAGAGACGATGCGCTGCTCCTCCAGAACGCTTTTCAACATGACGACCCGGAACTCACCAGCGAGATGCTTGCACTTTACCAGCAGTGCCCGACCCTTTTCAATAAAGTACTATCTCGAACGGACCGAAATGAGATGGATGCCCTACTCGAAAACGAAGACCACGAGATGGAAATCGACCAGTCCGCAGACAGCAATCATCTCAGACCGGCTGCGATCAATCGTATCCCAACAAAAAGTGTTGTCGCAACCCACCCAATTAATGATGGCAATAGAATCCCGACTCGCTCCGGGGACCTCAACACGACATCGACTTGGCGTGGTCATCTCCGACTGGCATACCAGTATGACTACGGCAAACCTGCACAATATCCATCTCTGTTCGAGAACCGGCCAATCCAGTGGTCACGGAAGTTCGGATTCACCGACAGGTGCGTACCAGACCACCAGGTCCATACCCCTGAGTCCCCACCCCTCCCCCTTTCCCACCACCGGCACCCGGGAGTAGGTGGAGCGGGGGGCATGATATTAGTGGGCATGTGTTTTTGTTGGTGTTGGGGAGCTTTTTTCTGGTGCAGGAGGTTGGGTGGGTGGCTGCGAGGTGGGCGAGGTATGGGGTAGAGGAGAGGTGCGTGGTGATGCATGATGGGGCGGTTAAGGGGGCGAACGTGGAGGCGGAGAGAGGGAGGACGGAGGGGGGAGAAGGGGTGGTGTCAACGGTGTTGGAGGCGCTGGGTCATGGGGGGAAGCTGGCCGCCGTGGTGGTTGGGCTGTGTGGGTGGATGCTGCTGATGACGGCGATTTACTTCCACACGTGGTTTGAGAAGGTGAGAATTCCAGCGTGGATTGGGAGTTCCTTTGCTGGGATTGTGCTAACCGGTTGTGACAGCTTACTGGACTCCTTGTTGCGTTCGTTGGACTGTATATCACGTATGTACTCCCGCGTTGGATCCCTGCTGCTGCGCAACATCATTGGGCTTCCGGGGATTTAGGTTTGGATGGCGACAGTGACAGGAGTACAACTTATTTACCTACAAAATAGCCCGGCGGCGTAATAGAATTGGTACGTACATGTGGATTGGTGATGAGAACTTTTAACACTCGACATTCACATGTCCA